ATGTGAGTGAGCGACCATAAGCCAAACCTGGGAGCAGCATGTGTAACACATACCCGTTCATAATTTTTTTCTCATGTTTAACCCTGCATGCATTTTCTACTTTCTTAGAAAGCACAAGACAATATCAGGCATTGAAGCTGATTTAAATGGATTATTTTCCTTCGTGCAATTGATCATACTACATTCATATGATAAATCTGTACATGTATACAATGTGCAGAATGAATTATTAAGTGACAGTGGTTTACAGAGATTGCTGCCTCTTATCCAGACATTTCTCAATATCATCAAGAACCTGGACAGCTGCCTTAGGGATTCGGGTTCCTGGGCCAAATATACTGGAAACGCCAGATTCGTACAGTTGGTCATAATCCTATTCGGGGAGAGAAAAAGACAGATAAACATACACAGATAAGGTATTGCTGGTAAAATTCTGCAGAACATGTACTGCAAGATCACAGTTAGATGGTGGCCAGCTGAGGTGGCAGCTGTGGGAAAACATCAATACACTAACCATGGGCTAAAATACTAATGTTCTCTTATTTCAAATTCATTCAGTTTACATAGCCGTATGAGCGTGGACTGTTTGAAATCTTTGTGAAAGCCGCAATCTCTGTTCTAAGCAACTACTAATCTAACCCAAAATTATAAATCATCAGAAAAATGCATATCCTATTTTCCACAAGGTCATTAGGAACCCTATAGCTATTAAATCAAGGTCAAGAATGCTCAAAGAGAAAAACAAATACTGAAAAAATAGGCCTTATATTCAATATAGTTTTCAATTAGTTTTTTTCTTAAAGTGTTCATAAATATTTTAAAATGATTTATGGGTACACTGTTGACTTAGAAGATTTTGTACCTGAAGATATACTTTCCCAACTACAAAACTGCAAAATATTTTTCTAGATAATTTTCTTTCATTGGTGTGGGAGGGTGCTGTATTTAGTATCAGGTTCTTAATTATGTTGAATATTTAACAAGATACAATAGATGGACAGCATACAAAAATCCTTGAATGATACAACATGCTTGTAAGAAATGAAAAAGGTAGAGAATACAGAACAAACAAACTACCCACCTAGCAAACAAACCACTCCAAATGTAAAACAAACAAACTTCTCCCAAGGTATCTAATACCAAGAGGAGCTGCATAATCTCACATCTAGCCTGTGTCTTTGGATTTGCAGTGTATAACGCTCAATACCTGAGGAGGGATGACACCTCCACACATGACAAGAATATCTGGGCGGCCAAGGGCATTTAACTGTTTGATGAGTTCAGGAACAAGAGTTTTGTGACCGGCAGCTAATGTGCTCACACCTACACAGTGCACATCAGCATCTACAGCCTGCTGAGCCACTTCGAGGGGTGTCTAGGCAAGAAATAGCAAATAAATAATAAGTAAGAATATGTAGAAGTTAACAGTACATGCATTTTTCATAGACAACAGCAAAAATGAAATACTGGGGGAGATGGAGGGCATATACATTTAATAAATAAATAAAATAAAAATACTGGATACTTTATATTTTCTTATGGCATTTGTAATTTAAGGTTGTTTCCAACATATCTATTTAAAGGTATGGGTATCTAGACCAGGTATGAAAGTATAACATGGAGATAACCTCATATCTATCTATGGATTGAGTCTTCTCTCACTAATGGATTTTGTAGATGCTTAAGCAGAAGATACAGTAATTGTTACATTTGATTCTGGTCGTGATTAAAAGGAATATGTTTATGTATCAATTTGAGTAGTGGGTACCTTTTTATATATGAGAATAATAGGAAATAATATTTAGCCTAGGAATCAAATATGTATTTCTTCATTGTCTGGTTTCTAACATTTTGCAAGGTATCTCCAACTTGTATTAATTGGGAATTTATTCTTTTTATTTTAAGCTAACCATGAATTAGCAGCATGGTAGTCCTCACTTGCCTGAAACAGTAATTAAACTAGAATTTCAGAAGAAAGTGAAATCCAGAATTATAGTTTAGCGCATCTAAGTATACTAGGAATTATCTTACAAATCTTGGATTGTTAGGTGCAATACACCATAATCCTGGATTTGGACATCACAAATCTCTCTTTCCTGATTTGCTTTTCTGCTCACGCAAAGAGAAGAGCTAGGATGTGTATATTAAAATACCATTTGTTTGTTTATTAATCAATACATGTCTTAAATTAATCTGCAATCATACAGTGTAATGATTAGTATCAAATTAGAATTGGGTAGATTCAGCTTCATATCCCATTTAATCATGATGTCATGGATGAAATAGCTACTCAAGCAGAATTTGGCGTAAGTGGAAGCGACATGAATGTCAAGATGAATCTGTGCCATCTCTCAAATCCTTTTCACTTCTTTTCTTAAGCCATGTTGGTGTGGAGCCTTAGTTTTGATAGCCCTTGAAAAACTGTTCCTGATTAATCACGATATGAAGCTTGCATATGAGAAGAGAAAGTTCAGTTGCTGAAAGATGGGGGAAGGGGACAAAAGGGGATAAGGGGTTAAAAAAAAAAAAGGAAAAGGGATAAAAGAAGATGGGGTTGGGGAAGTGCTGGTTTGTTTACTTGATATTACCAAGAACCTGTTATAATAGTAACCAGTTTCTCTAAAGAATTAATTAGTAGAACTATATAAGTGAGAATCTTTTATGACTTTTTGTTTATTTATTTATGACTATTTGACTCATTATTATGGTATTTATTGTTAATAACTTAAAATGAAGGGAAAAGGCTCATTGTTTTGAGCGGAGTATCTATTCTAATAAGAGACCTCTCATTCTCCCAAAAGCAAGGTCAACACATTTAAGCTTGGTGTCTTTCAAATTTAGAGAGTCAGATCAAACTGAAATGCTGTTCAGATCCACAACATCAGAAGTGCACTATGTGATACTGAATCAGTTACTATCTCTCTCGGCCTAACTGCTGCAAACATAAAATTGGGGAAGGGAAAAAACACATACAACATCCTGAACTCCTTGGAGGAAAAGTAGGATTAAGATATAACACTCCCCTCCCTCCACAAATATTATCCACATAGCCATGTGAGATCTAACATTGCCATAAAAAAAAATCTCATATTAATTTCAGGAGCAAAATAAAGGATACATTAATTAAACACAGTGAATGAAATATAAATGGACAAGGTGATACAACCAGTAGAAAGCCTAGCATTCACTGGAAATATCTTGCCTTTATTCATATATCAGGTTTACTGTAAAAATCAATCTTAATTGATTTTATTTTTACTTTTTTTGTATTTTGAGCTTATTTTCACTTTATTTTATGGTTGCTTCGAGTCAGTAATGACTCTGGTGACTGCCTGGACAAGTCCCTGCAGTTTTCTTGGCAAGATTTCAGAAGTGGCTTATCACTGCCTCCTTAGGGCTGAGAGAGAGACTGGCCCAAGGTCACCTGGCTGGCTTCAGGCCTAAATCAGGACTAGAACTCATGGTCTCCTGGTTTCTAGCCTGGTGCCATAACCACTATAGCAAACTGGCTCTCTTTTTTAAATTATCTTTTAAAAATTTATTTAAATTAGAATATTTAAATAAATACTTTAGCATTTTTGAGTCACTTGGCTAGTTGTTGTTGTTGTTCAGTCGTTAAGTCGTGTCCGACTCCCATGAACCACATTGCGCCAGGCCTTCCTGTCCTTCACTGCCTCCCTGAGTTTGCTCAG